ATATATATATATAAATTGACTGCATTAATCCAGATTTGTTTCGATCTTACGAACATTATCAAGGGCACACATAACATGATTACACAAGCCATAGTACCGAATAGGAGGGTGTTAACACATCGCATTAACGTAAAATGTATTAGGCCAAGGACAAGCGAGTAATATCGTAAGCATATCATGTCTATTCAGTGAGTGCCGATAATAAATGTATGTGGATATGTAAACTGTAGTATACTACATAAAGAATAAGGGTCACGACGGGAAATTTGTGCGTGTCATTCGTGGCATATGGAGTGAAACTTCAGCCTCGACGATTCATTCGATAACATGTGAGAATGGAATGAAACACCACCTGCCTTCACGCTGGTATCTTGCTCGGCTTATTCTACACTGAAGATGGAATTGATATGGTCCTTCGAAATGTCGGTTGACTTTCAGCAGACTACACGGCGTTTTAGAAGACAGTATTCTTCTACTGGGTATTTCGTGTAGTTCGGTAGTTCACCGACGTTTCGGATGAATGTACGGCATCCATCATTATCTCGCTCTGTTTGTTGCTTTCATAGCTTACTCTTGGACCCTGAATATTAAATAGTACGTTTATCTGAAACCCCGATTAAATTCTACCAGACTATGCGGCGTCACATCGTAGATGATATTTTTTTTTGGTCACCGATATGTGAACCTTAAATTCAGTGTAACGGTTATAGCATCGTGTTGGTGATAGAAAACATCGTTCTAATCTGTGACTTCCCCGTTTGCTAAGCGTAGAAAGTGATCACAGAAATACTGCGACACGTGATTAAATACGAGATCGTAAGTTCCGAAGTGAGTATGAAATAAATGTGTTTTTATGAAATTTAATGATAAATCGAAAATAAAAACTGAATAACAAGATAAAGCACCGTTTGAGATATTGTCAACTAGCGATCTAACGAATGCAAGAACAGCAGAGATTGTACTATGCAGGTGCAGTTCATACAAGGGGCAGATGTGTGGAGAGATCATATTGCATCCACGCTCGGTGTATCCTCAGATGCAACCTGAGTTACATACTTCTTGTATATAGTATATTTGTGCTTGTGTACATCGTTACGTCATTGGCAGAAAATTACTAGATACAATTTCTCAACACAGGATGTGAACAAAAATCGGCATACCGAAGTGTCACTGATTACACCGGGCTTTTCTTTGGAGAAGTTGCATGCTTTAGATAGACGTAGCCTCGAAAGTGTTTCAGACTAAGTTTACAACACATCAGCTATTTATAGACTTCAAGAAAGCTATGATTCAGTTACGAGAGAAGTACTGTACAGCAAAATCGAGTTTCATATACTTATTGTAATGGATTTGATCAACGTGTTGCCAGGTAGCAGCTCTGTAAACGAGGTCCAACACGCACCAGTAGAGGACGTTGTTTTTTTGAGCGTCCGCGGTGACGTCACACAAGAGTGGACAGAGACCGCGTGACGTATTTTCTGTAGATACGACCGACGCGCCAATAGACTGGCTGGATAGAGATCACGTGATGTGTTTACTGTAGGTTCATGTCCGTTCTACGGCTATATAAATAAGAGTGACGGAATTCGTTGAAGGCAGTTACGAGTGAGTAGTAGCTGAAGAAGCATGCGAACAAGGAAGCAAGCATTACCCTCGGGGACTACAGAAGAGTACAAGAAGTTAGCCTATGAAGATTTAACGTGTGATCTGAAGGCTTTGTGTGCTATAGTGCAGTGGTATTGGGAGTGCGTGGTTTAGGGAGACTGAGAAGATTAGTGTGGAGTGATTCTATTTGGGTCGTTCAAAGGGCCGCGCCATAGCTCAAGCGGTTAGTCGCTGGCTTCCCACCGCGGCGGCCCGGGTTCGATCCTGGGTGTGGTCAAGTGAGATTTTTGGTGGACAAAGTGGTGCTGGGGCAGGTTTTCTCCGAGTACTTCGGTTTCCCCTGCCAACCTTCATTCCACCAATAGCTCCACAATCACCCTCACCTATCATCTGAAGCTGGTACAATAGGCCAGAATTGGCCGCAGTACAAGAGACTTAGTCCCACCCCACTTACTTACTTACTCATGGAGTTGAGCCCTTCTGGAGGAGCCGCCAATTCTGCAGCTACTCAAGAATTTCCCAGCATTTTATGGAACCCTAAGGTTCATCACCGTGTTTACAAGAGCCCTCCCCCACTAGCAATAAAAAAATATGTCGTTCAAAAATGATTGACACTCCATCTATATAACTCCGGAAAAGTACCGGTGTCAAATGCGAGCCGGTGTATGTGGGAAGACATAGTGCCGCCTATGACCACGAGATGACGTTACTACTGAACACAGGTCGAACAGTGCTGCGTCATTCTTGGCGGTATGCAGGTGCAGTCGTGGACAACGCTCAGACTACATGGAAGCAGACAATCACGGGGAACGGTGGATTGTGTGGTTTCTCTGGAGGGAAGGAGTGGCTGCTTCAGACATTCACATGAGGTTAGTCGCCGTATGTGGGGAAGCAGCACCAAGTCGCAGAACCGTGTTTAGCTAGATAGCAGATTCCAAAGACGGCAAGGACTGTGCTGGAAAAGGCAAAAGCAGAGGGCGTCCAGCAACAGCATGCACACCAGACAGTATCCAGCGTGTGTCCGACTTGATACTGGAGAACAGGCGCATCTCTTTCCATAAACTAGAGAACGCAACAGGTTTGTCACGTGGAACACTGCACACAGACTACTCCAACATGACAATGCGTGGCCACATGGCAGTCGGCAGACCACTGCCACCCTGGGTGCTCACCGTGCTGCCTCATCCGTCATACTCGCCCGATCTTGCCCCTAGCGACTACGCTCTATTCGATGCAATGAAAGACGTCATGCGGGGTAAGACGTTCACCTCCAACGACGAGCTTCAGGCCGTTGTCCAGCAGTGACGCCGGCATACCCCCAAAGCATGGTTTGCTGTGCGAATACGGAAACTGCCGGAAAGATGGCAAAGGTGTATAGCGGTTGGCAGGGAATACCTTTAATATAATCTGTATGTAGTTTGTTCCAATAAATGGTTACTGTGAAGAAAAAAATATTTAGTGTCAATCATTTTTTAACGTCCCTAGTAAATTGTTGTAAATCAGCAACAGTGTAATAGTTATTTGTAGTTACGACCTGTAGGTTGTTAATAAATCCAATTACCAATCCGAACCCTGTCTTTAGTGACTGTGTCGCGTGACATTATAAAACTAGTTAAGCGAACAAAAATATGTTTGGATGTGACATATAGTTAAGTCCTTATAGGTAGACACTTGTCTAATACATATCTGTTGTCCGAAACAAGGAGATGCTTTATCGCCATTGCTTTTCAGCTTTGCTTTGAGTTATTAGGAAGGTCCAAAGAAAGTGGCATTGAAATTGGATGAGATACAGTAGCTTCTGGTCTATTCCGACGAGGATCATGTAGTGGGCGCAAACATAAATAACGGAAAACAAAACACAGAAGCTCTAATAGATGATTGCAAGGAGACTGGACGGGAAGTAAACACAGACAAAACTAAGTACTGTATACACTGACGTCTCGTCACAAGAATCCAAGACTAAATCATAGGTAAATACAGACAACAAATCCCACGAAGATGTGTCGAAGTTCAAATATTTGATCAACTACAGTAACACAAATCAGATGTCGGGTTAAATCATTCGACATAGCGACGGGCTACGGGTTCGATTTCCGTCAGTACAAGATCTTCCTCTTTTTTGTCTCTCTTCTCTTGTCCCTCTGCTTAACAATGTAAGCACTACGCCATGAAGGCGTATGAGGGAGTGGATGTATAGCTCCATATTTTCTTGACCTCAGCACCAGTTGGTCAGCTTAATGCCCCTGCCGCTTTCCCCCCGGTACCCACTGGATATGAGGCTGGGTGGGCCCCCAGAGTCGGTCTGGACGACGTGAAGAAAATTCTTGACCGTACCGGGACTCTAACTCGGACACCTCGGTCGTCCAACCAGTAGCCAGTCGTTATACCGACTGAGCTATGCCGGCTCCAATACCTTTATCTTTACAGTAAAAGAATACAAGTTCTGTCATTACGGGTTAAGAACAGATTAAATTGTTGCAATGCTTGCTACCATTCAGTTCAGAATATTTTGTTTTTAACCAGAGGTAAGGGAGGTGGCCACTGGTCAGCTTTTCCGACCAACCAGCAGCATACACCATCGGGGACGTCTTCTCACTTGCGAACCGTCATTCACTGCAACCTTGATAGAGACGACATAGTCTCCATGATTTCTGTTACAAAACAAACGACTGTCTGTTGAACAGGTAGGAAGAAAGTAGGGTAAACGGATACGTGCAGAAGATGCTAACGGATCTGAAGGAAAATCGGGGCGTGACAGCCATACTGTTCTGTTCAACTAGTATCAAGGTCGTGCCGACTGCGCACGCGCAAGCGCTGCGGCTGCGCATTCTTACTGGTGGTTCGCGATGCCTCCGCAGTTATCAAATACGGAAATGTACGCGGAATAAACCGGAAAACTCATATTTTCTGAATAAAAATATATAAGCTGTTTACAAGTGGCGTACAAGGTCTCACACCCCTCAAACAATGGGGTCGCGGTTCCTATCTCCCTGTGGGTTATTGAAGCACACCGTCAGTACTTACACTGTACAACTTCAAGGAATGCGTGTAGGGTTTTGTTGGTGAGAACGCAAGAAGGAAAGAGTCCACTAGGAAGACCTAGACATAGGTGGGAGCATAATATTAAGATGGATCTTAGAGACATAAATGACAGAAAACCTTTGTGTATCTGAGCGACTGGCGGCTTCTCAAGCACTCAGCTCCATGGAGTCAGTCAGTTAGCTTCAGATGGTGGGTTAACAGATAAATGACAATTTGGAAGGAAACGGTCGTTGATTAATCGAGGCACTGTCCCGTAAACTGCATAGAGTGACTGAAGAAAACTAGGAGACACTTCCAGTATCCCTGGCGAGATTATAAGCCGGCATCTACGTACCGCTACGCTAACCCGTCTGGTATTGATATTTCGAACTCCGGACAGAGATATGTTGTTACGCCAGATTTGATGTTCTCGTAACGGTGACGATGAAAATAGCTATAGTCTGGTATTTGACACCGTGTAGTCTGGTAGATTGTTACGAATTCTTTGGAGGAACCTCCTTTCTCCATTTTCAGGGCAAAAGAATGACCTGAAAGTAGTAATTATTTTAAAGATCGAAGAATAAGCGTATTGATGCTTACTGGTTTTTTTTATTGCTAGTGGGGTGGGACTAAGTCCCTTGTACTGCGGCCACTTCTGGCCTATTGTACCAGCCCCAGATGATAGGTGAGGGTGATTGTGGACCAATTGGTGGAATGAAGATTGGCAGGGGAAACCGAAGTAGTCGGAGAAAACCTGCCCCAGCACTACTTTGTCCACCTCAAATCCCACGTGACCAGGCCCGGGATCGAACCCGGGCCGCCGCGGTGGAAAGCCAGCGACTAACCGCTTTAGCTTTGCCGCGGCCCAATACTAGATTTAATCGAAGCCTGTTGAGCCTGTAGCAAGTAGACCCGCTGCTAAGTAACGACTCTGTAAACAAAGTAGGTTGCTAGGCAACAGATTCCTAACACGCATGAATGGAGTAACTGGGAAGAAGTGTCCCCTAAGCGGTCCATGCGACAGCTGCATGAAGCAACAAGAAAAGGGATGTTGGAAGCGGTGTTTTCCATGCGCTCCGTGCCGGGGTGTTATAAGCAGGACAAGTCTAGATTTCAGTTAGTTGATGGGGCTCGACACCAAGACTTACTGACTGACCGTCAGTTGCAATGTGACTTTGAGTTCAGTTAGTTGGTAGACAGTCGCCGGACAGTAAGGGCGTGAACACAGAAGCTGAGGAGGTTACGGCGTTGGAAGCCGTTACCAGACAACGACTGGTGAAGACACAGCAGACTGAAAAGACTTAGTGCGTACTGTTGTGGATTGCAGAGTGTGTGAATTGGCGACAGCACTATAGTTACTTGTAGTAAGTCAATAAATCCAATTACCAATCCAAACCCCGTCTATAGTCACTCAGTGATAAGTGATTTCTGAGACGTGCATGAACACGGAACTCCCCATAGCTTTTCTTTTATTTCAGGCGTGTAGTGCAAAGACTATTTTATTCAGTTTCGGTTTCATAATATACGTGCAGTTCCAGGATAACTACTGTTTCTACAATGACGACATATTTAAGCCACTATTTTTGACCATCATCAGGAAATACTTATACAGTAACTTTCAAATCTCTCTCTGCTATTCCTTTCCCATTGGTCAATGCTCACGCTGAGCGAAGGTCATAATGCTGTTTACAATGTAGGTCTTCAGCTGTAGACTTCAACAAATATTGCAAACTGAACCTTTGTCCTGGTGTTCCCAAGGGTACGCTTTATTCGTAATACAAACGTCTTTTAATTTTGCCTTAAAATCTGCAAATCGGCCTCAAAAATCCTTTTTATAATTAAGTTAAAACAAAGCTGTCCATATAATAGACCACGGAGGCTCATGGGGTTGTGAAACGTCAAGACTTCCACATTTTTTAGGCAATCGGCTCACAGATGGCAGTGAGATTGCAAGCCTTACTCATATCTGATTGAGGCTGTGTCGAAGCAAGAATTGTAGTGCGGCTGGAGGTATTAGGTCAATTAAAGAATCCAATGATCTCTTCGGGAATCGAACCCACGACCTTGCGGCTTGTAGCACAGTGCCTCTACCAACTACGCTATCACGTGCGGACAGGATAATCTGAACTACTTACAAGTAGACCAATGTTGGTTAATTATTATTATTGTTATTATGGCTATATTTATTATTTTATATTTATTTTATTCGCCCGTGTAGTCCTGAGATCGTTTTCCTCGATCGGCACGACATAACCAGGATCTCATAGGGTACGTGTGTTTTCTCTTGTCTCATACTGCATTTATATTGTTCGTAATGTACGCCTGTCATGACAGAATCTCATACAAACAATTTCACAAAACAGCTGTATACATCATGACGTTCTGGCACTTTGCGACGATGATTGGAATGTAACTGCCTTGCTTTCAACGCCTGATGAGCGCATGCGCTACCTACCGAAACCTTCCGCAGTCGTCCATACCCTGACCACGGACAGAGGTCCCGTGGATAGCCTGGGGCTTCCCCTTTCTGCCTGCTGCTGTATTCACTTTTGACCGTCTCTGTGGTCTAGTGGTCAGAGTTCCTGCCTACAGATCCATAAGTCCCAGGTTAGACTCCCGGCGCTACCACATTTTCTGAGAAGTAGTGGGTATGGAACGGGGTCCACTCAGCCTCGTGAGGATAATTGAGGAGCTATTTCAAGGAAATAGCGACTCCGGTCTAGGAAACCGAAATTAACGGCCGTGGGGATTCGTTGCGCTGACCACGCGACACCCTCTATCCGCTATATTTGGCACTAACTTCGCCGATAAGCGGCAGTCGTTCGGTCGGTATAGTTCGCTTGCAGACTCAAGCCACGGAGTTTTTTTATTCCCTTTTAGACCTTCTGGTCTATGTCAAGCAGCTCAAAGTACTTGTTGTCCGGGAACATTATCACGTGATTATCACAATATTATATCTATGAAAGATCTCGGAGAATGCGTTAACGCCGGATAGTGACGCAGTTCGTTGCATCATTATTAGAAAGTTATTGAATTCTATTCTTAACGTGCGGTGCGAGTCACAATCACCATAACGGGGATTTCGGTGATCACTTCCGTAACGTTCCCTCAGAGATGTTTGAGATGGAGTTCTTACCAACATCCGTGTGAGCAGAATGGCTAAGTGACTAGAACGGAATATAGAGGGGGGGGGGTAAATCGAAGGTAGAAGCATTGTATCTGCTCGAGGGACATATGGAGGGAGTCGAGCCATGGGACATCTTTCTGTGGTCTCAATATAAGTA